AAATATTTATTTTCCAAACTATAAACATTTAATTCCTAAACTAAATATTTAATTTGCTAACTAAATATTTAGCTCTAACTTAAATATTTAGCTAGCTAGAGCTAGAGGTGTGTATATAAAGGTTTGGCTTTTATTTTGATAGTCCACTTCTGCTTTTCGGCAAGGAATTTGCATATTCGCTAAATATTTAGGTTTGAGATAAATATTTAACTTGCGAGTTAAATATTTAGGTCTGAGCTAAATGGTTAGTTAATTAAATATTTATTTTGGAAATTAAATGTTTAGTTTGAAAATTAAATATTTAGCTTGTACAATAAATATTTAGTTTGGAAATTAATTGTTTAGCTTTTAAAATAAATATTTTAGCTTGGAAATTAAATATTTAATTTACACCTAAATATTTTGTTTACTTACTGTAAATTAAACATTTAGCTAGGATAAAACATTTAGTTTGTAAACTAAATATTTGGTGTGGAATTAAATATTTAGCTTGCAAAATAAGTATTTAGTTTGTAAACTAAATATTTAGCTTGTAAATTAAATATTTAGTTTGAAACTGACATTTATAAATGTTTGAATAACATGGTGAAAATATGACTTTGAAAAAAAACTTCTTTATTTAAATTTTATGGAAGGCTAAACGAACCAAAATATTGCTGCTACAGGTTAATATTTGACTGTGTAAGTTTACGAACAGCACCCCGTAACACCCAGGTTGTGGAGAGCAGGCTGCACGTTGCAGGTTGTCCAGTATGTTCGATAGATGTGGAGGTATTTTTGTTGAATGAGGCTTTAACCCTCCTGCTGCCCTTGGGTTAAGAGTCTCTATTAAGAATGATCTATGGCCTCAATACAGACTGTGATGAAGACGTGTCAGCCATATGTTTCAATTCTCTGGAATATGTTTATGTAATTTGGACACGGCTGAGCTCACAAGTGTAGTGGACCCTGTTGGTGTTTTCTCTCTGCATGCTGGTGTTATATGAGTGTGCGTCTGCACTTGTTGTGCTCGTGTGTGTTCTGTCTGTTCTGTAGAGGCTTTAGGCTTCTTCACGAATCCCTGTTAAATTCTTCAGTCCAACACACAAAGCATGTGAAGTTTTCTTAAAGTTAAAGGGACATTTTCTACTCCAACATCTCTAAACATACAAAATATTCTACCTTGATGTAACTGGGCTGCACAGTGGTGTGGTGGTTAGAGCTCCCGTCTTACAGTGACATGGTTCTGGAATCGACTCTGCTCGACTTCTTCTGTGTGGAGCTCTGACTTTCTCTTACAGTCCAAAAACGTGCACGTTGGGTAATGTACAGATTGACCTTGGATGTGACTGTATGGTTGTTTCTGTTGGTCC